CCCTGTACCTTGTCTCCTCTTTCCTGTGCTCCATCTCTGCCTCCAGCTGCTGCTTCCGCAGTTGAGTCTCTTTTTCCCGCCTTAGTCGTTTCTCCAACAAAGCGGCCCGTTTCATCGCCATATCATTCTCTGCTTTTTGATCATCCTAAGAATGATTTCATTGAAAGAGATGAAATGTGTTAGATAACAATATTCTCATTTCCAGTTATTGTAGTCATGCTATATAGACTACCCTTACAACTGAAAATGTGAAGTATCTATTCAACCTTATTCCGACCCCATCACATATAGAAACTATAAAGGGAGAAATGAATTACAGTGGTAACAATTCCATCAAATAACAAAGGGCACTTAAATTTATTTGTTTTCAGCTCTTAGGAAATTAGCAAACAACAACCATAAAAAGGGGAAAAAAGCACAGCTTTTTTCTTAGCTCTACTAAATACAATTTAGATATAATTTGAGAAATTGAAATTATTTAAAATATGTTAAGTACAATTTAGCATAGAAGAGACAGTATACATCTGTACCTTCATTTCCATTCCATTCCATACCTTCCCATACACTCATTCCCATTCCATTCTATATTAAATTGTATTTAACATAAATGATCAATGAAAACTCAAGTAAAGTCACCAAAAAATTTGTTCCCCAAAGTTATATCACATAAATGAAACCACTACTATAGTTTTCGTAAGTTGAGGTTCTGACACTTTGCTTGGTGGGCTCTGAACTACACCGAAATTTTTCCTTGGAAGAGACGTTGGCCGTAATATCTCCTAAAGTTCTTTCAATCTAACATCCAGTTCATGAACCTGCTTTAGTTTCTACCTGAACCCTTACGGACAGCCCTAGTTCTCAGAGAGCTTCCAAAATCCTTCAGAATTCAGGTACTTAACAAGCTGTAGAAGTGGTTCATTGTCTTAACGATTCCTTGCAATATACTTAATTCAAAAAGCATTTCCTGGTTGTCTAATATATTCATGACACAGTGCCAGGCATACAGACAGTAGAATATGAAAGATATAGCACCTTACGTTAAGGAGCTTAAAGATCACATGGGGAAGAGGTACGAACAAGGTGCTTTACACAGAAACCTCAGAGAGATTAACTCTGAATGGAGAACGTCCAAAGATACCATTCAATCAGTCCAAACATGCACCTCTGGATCTGACCAACTACATACACTTTGCAATCTGCGGGCACTTTACTATGCTCTGGGGACAAAAAGGTGTAGTACCTCTAGGGCTTTATAGTCTAAGACAGAAATCACAACATAAGCAAATCATAACAAAACAGTTGAAAACTCTGGGTCACAGGTACTACTGTGAGTTTGCTTGGGATATGAGAGACACAAATGAGAAAATACTTAACTTCTACTAAAGAGATTACGGAAAGCTGGAGCAAACAGATGCAACTTGAAGTTATTCTTAAAGAACAGTCAAAAGTAGAAGTTATGGGAAAAAGGATAGACAAATAGGCTTGGGTTAGTCTGTGAAAGTCCCCAATATTATGCCAAGGGGTTTGAACTTTATTCAAAAGGCAACTCTAAGATTTCTGACTAGAAAAGGACCCAACTGGAATTAAGCTCTTGAAACACTGATCTCAAGTAGCAGAATGAAGGATGGAATGGCATGAGCAGAGGGAGGAAGCCCAGTTAAGAAGCTATAGCCACTATAAGGGTTATCCTTTATATAGCACTGGGGCAGGGAAGATACGGAATGGATGGGAATGAAGATACAGATGTATACTGTCTGTTCTATGCTAAGGGATTTTTCTCCTGTTTTCCTTTCTCTGCGAGGTACAATGAGGTAACAAGGGTTTCTCAAATTAAACAGTAAACTATACTGTGTCCATAGTAGCATACTATTTCTTTTTTAATGGTAGTTTTACATGGTCAAGAGACAAAACATGACTCACATTCAAATTTCTAAACATTAGGAATGTCCTAAAGGGCAATCACCCTAAGATCAACTTCAAAATAAATTACAAATTTCCAATATTAAATGATCAAAAGTAAAACTAGCAGTTGCAATCACTTCAATATTCTGGGTTCTTACTCCTGTAGGACTGCTGTGTATTTCAATTTAAAATCTTAAATTATAAATCGTTGCTCTTGAGGGTTGCCTTTTCTACCTTTATGCGAAACTGCGGAGCTATACAGATCCAAGATGATCTACTATAGTCCCGTAATTTAAAAAAGAAACATGAATAACACCTACATATGTTTCTGGTTATTAAAAAAACACATATTCTTCCCTATAGGTAATTTGGAAAATATAAATAGAAAGATTGAGAAAATGGGTGATAATTAGGAGAAAATTTAAAAAATACTACTAGGCTTTTCTTGTTTTCCTAGTATCTTCATCATCAAGAGGTGATACTGTTCAATTTTTGTGTTTGTTGGCAACAGTATTGCTTAAATATTACAGCCACTACCAATACTGAGATTAGAAGACATGCGCTAGATGGAGACCTTCAGCCAGCACTTCTAAAGCTAATCCAGTGACAACGGTTCCAACTATGTATGTTTTTAAATGTTCTACCTTGTAAGATTCTGTCTGGCCAGGTATTAAAAAATATTTTAAAAAAACAAAGCATACAAGGGAAGGTGTTCAAGATTATAAAAAAAACTAAAATATAGTTACACACAATGCCAAGTATGAGCTCTTTACAAATGGGCAACTGAGTAACTCTGAAGAAGTCTGAACAGCTTAACTTTTACAAGGCTTTTGAGAAAGTGAGAGGTACAGGAGCAAAAACAGCATCTCTAAACATGTACCATGACTGTGATGGAAGGAGGACTGTTCTGGAAATCACAATGTGCCAAATATATACTTTAGGATTAACGGCAGACTTGTAACAAAAAAGACTGACCAGAAGCAGCCTATCACCTAAAAAGCAAACCCAACTAACAGAGATGCCTAAAACTATGCCAACGAGTGTTACCTTAAAAAAGAATCCACAGCATACTTTCTGGTCATCATCTAATTGTTCTTTATCACTTTCTCCATCATATTTTTCAGCAGATACATCAGCCTTTTCAGGGGGTTTCAAATCTGAGAGGGAAACTTCAATCAGATTCACGTTTTTAGGAGCAGTCGGTGGGAAAACAAGCTTAGGAGGTTCTGTGGGTTGGCTCAACTGGTCCTCATTTGGTGTCAGACATACAGTCTCTGTGACCGGCTGTGACAGGACTTCAGAAACTGTGGACTCGAGAGGCTTGACCCCCTTTTCTTCTGGATTATGTATATGCTGTTCCAAAGCCCCTTTGGGTTCTAATTCCTCCTTTCTAGCTTCCTCCTTTGGCTTGGATTCCTTTGACTGAAGTTCCCCATCATCCCCAAAACATACAAATGACCTCGTCTGAATGGGAACCTGACTGGGTGAAAACCTCCGTAGCCGAGGAAGACTATCCACAGACCGAGGGGGTGTCAGTGTTCGATTCAACGGTGTTATTTTTAATTCATTTGGCCTGGGAGTCCTTTGATTTTTAACAGAAAAAGATGTGCTCTTCCTGTTCAAAGACTGTGGGGAAGGGTGAGCAGGACGAGGGGAGTCTGATGAGAAGGGTGCAAGGGCCGGTGACGGGCCCGCCTGCCTAGGCCTAAAATCTCGAATCTGCTTCTGGGGAGAGGGCTGGGGTGGTGAGATCACCCAGGACTGCTGCTCTCGCATCTGCATTAACATCTCCTGCTGAAGGGACAAGCGCTGCATTTCTTGCTGTAGGAAATGCAGAGACGAATTCAGCTTTTCAATGGATTTTGTGTACTCTAAAATCTCCCCTTCATTTAGAGTTTCTTCTGAGGGGCTTGTGAGGTGCCACTGCTTCTCAGGGTCAGCAGGCGCTGCTGGGGACTTCAGCCACCTGGCCTGAGGACTCTCCACGCTCTCTTTCAGATCTGCCAGAGACTGGCTCCTCTGTCCGTTAGCTTTCTGTGACTCCTTTTCTTTTGCCCGTTCAGTGTATACTTTCTCATCTTCTGCACCAGCTGCTTCCTCTCGAAGAGGGGAAATCCCATCCCCTTTCTTTTTCACGACAGTAAGGAATGCTGTCCTTCCCATCTTCTGCCTCTGCTTAGTAAAAGCAGCTTCCATTTTCTTTTTCTGGGCTTCAATAGCACGCCTCTTTTCTTCCAGTTTCATCCTAAGATGGACCATCTCTGAGGCCAACAGCTGGGTCGTGTCCCGTCCTTGTGGAAGGCCTGTTTCTTCTGGAATTTGGGCCCAGGACACCATGTGAGGAATATTAAGTTCAGAGCCCTCTGGTGTAGTTTTCTGAGAGCTGCTTCCACTGCTCTTTCCATCAGTATGATTCAGTTTCCTGAATTTCTGTTCGGCAAAGCTGGTCATCTTAACCCCAGAACTAGAGGACGCACTGCTACCCGGCTGAGACTTGGTGCTCACAGTGCTGGGACAGGGGCTCAAAGCCTCCCTGGGGTTGGTGCTATGCAGATCGTAATCCGGAAGAAACTTGGATGCATCGTCCATGTCAGAGTCCAAGCTTACAGTATAATCTCTCAAAGAAGAATCTTCATCCATAGTTTCAGGAATATCTTCTGAAGGAACGTGAATTCCAGTGTCTACTTCAGTGTTGTCAGTGATGGGACTCAAGGCACCTTTTGTATCAGCCATGTTATCAGGACTAGCTTGATTTAGCTTGATATTTGAATTCAGGATACTCATTTCCTGGCTATGAAGAAAGAAGCCATTAGCCATTGGGTCTAGCTGGGGTGTATGGGGAGATTTTTCGGTATCATGAATTATCTGCAATGCTTCTTCAATGCTGGGTGTCTCGATCTGATTGCCAAACTCATCCAGAAACACCCTGTTTTGTAAAGCTCCATTAGGAAGCTTGTAAAGAGTATTCGCATTAGAGTTCAGTTCGTTCGTATTCAGGGGCACATAGGGTCTGAAGTCGCCGCGAGAGCCCATAGTCAGCTCCTCCTCGATGCCTTCTGCTTCCTCTTCTCCATTTACTGGTTTGAAGGACAGATTTTTCCGAATGTTTTTAGATACACAATTGTTGTTCAGAGTGAGTCCTTCATTGCTAATAGAACGAGTGATTCCTCGGTTTGGCATGGGTTTCTGTACAGTATTTTCTTTATCAAAAGAAATATCAAATGAAACTCCATGAACTGATGATCTAAAAAAAATTTAAAGAGAAAATCCTTAAATAATCCCAGAAAGGAAACTTTTTATATTACTGAACAATTCCAATATATTTGAGATCATACTTCCTTGCTTCCTCCATTTCTCACGACCACGCTGCCCTCCAGGGACGGCCGGGCTCTCAGTCTCCCTTTTACATCTGGCTCCTTTGACCTGACATCTGCCTATGTTTCCCTACTCAAATCTAGGTACTACCTGAAAGTCTATTGTAAGCTGGCTGACAATTAAAATAAAGAAAGAGAAAATGAGCATTGTTTGATAATGTGAATATATTGAAAGTAACTCTCTGTTTACCTTTTCTCTTTGGGCCATGTCCCTATGAAGCCATCAACATAAGACATAGATGAAGACCGTCTAATTCCACCTTCAAATTCAAAAAAGAAGTCAATCCATGTAAAAAATTTAACATAGCAATTTAACAGATTTTACAGATTTGAGGATTCATTAACTACACTAAAGAGTAAGTAGGTACATATGGAGAAACAGATTATTTTAAGAAAAGCAAGCACAGAAAAACAGATTTAGTATGTATGTAACAATTTCAGAAAAAGGATTGGATAGTTTTTTTTACTTGTAATTATTCTCAATCATTTCCCAGTTAACCTATTTAAATAGCATTTCCTAAGCTTTTTCAAATATATTACCTGAGGCTGAAGAATGAACCTGGGGACGTGAATGTCTAGAAGGCAAATGATGATGAGTGTGTGTAAATATGGCTCCTTCCCCACTGCAATGTAAAAAAATATATATATATATTGTTATGTTTTAGCTCTTTAATATAAATTTTACACAGAATGGCTGAAATCAGAAACAACACTATCACCTCTGATTTTCCATCTTAATAAAAAAAAAAGAGAGCATAAAATATTGTTTAACCAAAGAGCAGCTATGATTATATAGATATCTATGTACTTGATGTCTTCTAGCCAAAAAGCCTGAAATACTTTCATATACGTCTCAATGTCCTTGCAAGAGCAAAATACGGCACATTTTTTCATTTTACAAAGAGAAAAACTGAGAAACAAAGAAGTTAAATGCAAGTTGTCAGTTTGACATATTTTGGTCAAACTGAAATCTCTAAAAACCACCGGTGTAATAAAACCTTGTTAGAAGATGCTGGCAGCCTTGCTCTTTGTGGACATCTGTCTGTACATCTCTTAACAGTTGCACTAAGATTAATACAGTGAGCTATACCTGGGAGATGCCCGTGAGATATGAAACTTTCCTCTCATTTAACTCCACCCTATTCCAATTAATGCAGGAGATTAGATAGTCTGTTTTTCAAATTCTAATGACATTTGGCCAGAATTTGATTTCTCTGTGTGGGGTTGGGCCTCATGGCCTGCAGTGTAGCCAAGTGAAGAAGCTAAGCATCCCCGCCCGCGGTGGGCTGAGAGCAACTTGGGCAGCGGGATGCGCGTGGCGGCCCCTTCAGCTCTGTCAACGACAGTACCTTTCAGTCAATGTAAACTGAGACAATGAGCCAGTCAACCAAAGAATTCACAGTAAACACTGATGATGCATTCGATGGAACGAAAGCTTAATTAGTGAGCTTTTCTAAAAGCAACATCCCTGAAAAAACTGTGGCTGTGCCCTGTCCAAGAAAATGCTGTCTGCTTTTGCGTGCCCTTCCCCCTGAACTGCACATGGAACCTCCCCCCACTGCATCTGCGGTCATTTGTCAGAGGGCTCACACTGCTCCCCATCATGTGCGCTTCTATTATCCCTCCTTCTAAACCCATTTCCAGTCTTCACTTCCCTCACACCTGTGACAGGAGGGTAACCCTGAATACATGCAGGTTAGTCATTAAAATATATTCACATTCTTCTTCTTCCCAGATAATGGCTAGTGTTGTGAATTCCTCCTGATCGCTTTACTCCCATGTCTGCACAGAGGGCTGCGGCCTGGGGTGACGCCCGAGTAGGCCAGGAGGCTTTGTGTCCGGAGGCTTTGCTTCTTCCCCTCATAAGGTCATTATTCAGGTGTAACATCACCGGTAGGTGTGACTGCGTTATTCTCAGGAGAAGCAGAAATTCCTGACTCCTACCTTAAAAGTCCTACAATGGGAGAACCACCATGCGCCACACAGATGCCTATGGGAATGAGAGGACCACTGGGGTCCCAGGACTGGTGGCTGCACAAGGAAAAGAGTTTAGAGATCCACCTGGGTTACAGAAATTGTTCTACTAGGAAAAATGGGAAAAGGTAGCCATTCAGGTGTCTGAGAGACAGAGAAGAGTCTCCCAAAGGACTTCACAACATTTTCCAGTGTCAGAAATGTGGAAGATTGTCCACTCAGGTTCCTAGAAGTAAGAATTACAGAATAATCTACATTTCAAGTAGACAGTTTCAGAGTTTTTAGTGGTTTGACAATGTAAGAGTTACAGCCCAGAACACTGGGTGTTTCCTAAATTTTCAAGGAAGTAAATGTCATTATGTAGACAACTCAGGAAAGTGCTGAGGAAGTAAATAGAAAAAAGTTTCCCATGAGAGAAACAGAGAGAAGCTCCTAGATCAGTAATATTCTAAATTAATCTCTCTGTGCTTATGGAATAGAAAATTTACCAGAAGTAGTAAGAAAATGCATAGCAGCAAATCAGAGGGTAAGGAAAGGAAATGCTCCACAGACACCAGGAATTGCCAAGGGGAGCCGGATGGCAGTGAGAGCACCACCAGGCGTGTCACCCCCGGTTTCATGCTCCTTAGCAAGTGCTTGAAAGAGAAGCTTCCTAAATGTGAGGAGTGGGGGACACCTCAGCCCAAGTTCACATTTTCATGTAAAGTCAAGAACTCACAGCAAGTACTTTCAATTTCTTACTCATTTTTAATGGATCTGCTTGAACTTCTAAAAAAACCACAAAATACATCGATTTTAAACTTGAAGAAATCAGATTAGGGAGTCCAAAATCAATATAAATTTTAGATTCTAATAAATACACATGAAAAACTACAGGATCTGCTGGAAAACATTTTTAAACTAATGTCTCTATTGTATACTTGGGTCAGGGTTATCTTGATATTAAATTTTTACTTTGTTTTAAATTCAGTTCCTGATATTAAGAACTAAAGCCTTAGAGATTCAGTATCACCATAAATATCCTATTGAGATTACTCTATAGTTAAAGTAACCAACAAACAAAATAGCAGGGAAAATTGCCTCAAAGATTAAAAAAATCCTACGAAAAATTAAAAATCCAAGTAGAATTTAAATATCTCCCCCCTGAGGCCTAAGAGTTACCTATTACCTAAGCAGTTCTCAACTGTAAACAAGTTATGCAACAAGTTCGAGCTTAGGCTGGTTTTTTAGACCCTAGAATATTCTTCCACTTCTCAGTGTGATTCATAAAATCCTATTATGAAACATGAATTTCAGTATAAATTTCCATTATATTTAAGTTAAAATAGACTTTAACAGGGTAAGTTAGTTAAAACTTACTTAGTCCGAAGTCCAACTGAAATTTTAATAAGTCTAATACAATACAATTTTCTCTTGATTTCATTAGTAAACAGAAAGGAAACAGTGAAAATGGAGCCACTCTGGAATCTACCTTGAAGTGAAGTCAGGACTACAGGAACTGTCAAGCACGTTTGTTGTGGCAGCATTTGAGACAGGAACTGAAGGCATATCGTCCACAGATTCAGCTACAATAAAAGATAAAAACCTAAGAATTACATATCTAGCATGTTTCCAACACTATTTCAAGAATTCTGGACTATAAACAGATGCTTAAATTTGATCCCAATTTCCTTTATTACTCATAGAAAAAAAAATCACAGCATATTTAAAGTTTTCTTTTGAAATGATTTTCAAAAGGTAAAATTTTCTTTACACTCTTCTTGAACAAGACTGTTCTGGTTTAAAAACTCGATTAAGGCTCACTGGAGGGGGCAGGGGGGAAGGCCTGACATAAACTAAATACAGATATTAAAAATAAATATGTCTAATTTCACCAAAGCTTTCATATAACTTATGTTACATATGGCTATCTTCACTTCTTTATGAAACAGTTAGTATTTTGGTAATCAAAGACAGAATTTAATTCATAACTAAAACCACTGCTTAGTTTACATATTTGTAAATAACGCTGGGGGAAGACTCAATTTACTTTGTGGCTCTGAGGCCTAATGTAACATCTGTTGAATAATTCTGGGTAGTGGCTTTCACAGATGAAATCACAGAAAATAGTACATGTGAAAATTTTATATTAATTGTAAAAGTTGTGCAAATATTGGTTATGATAATTACTAAAGACATATGCCTTTACTTAATGGTTTTAGGGAAAAATCTCAACTTCTTTATTGCTATTCTTTGTTATATAATGGCTCAATATTCAATATTTCAGAATATGCCTTAAGCACTTTAGAGATGGAACAGATTTAAATACTCATTACCGCATATTCTACGGAATTTTGCCTGAGATGCAGTGGGCCCAGGTAGGCTCATTCTACTCATGGAAGTGTATGCCTCCCTTCACTCTGTATTTTTTCTTCCTGTCTGATCTCTTTCTCTTCTTCAGTTTTTTTGGGGGGGGAAGAACAGTAGGGATGGAGAGAAATAAGGGTAATAGTGAGGAAACCAGCAAGATTTGGAACCAACAGGAGCAGCTAAGTAGTTGGGATGCACAATACTCCTGTTTCCACTGGGCAGGGTGGCCACAGGCAGCAGGAAGGACTGGTCCCACAGTTATGCAGGAAGAATATTCTTCAGTGGGACTAAGCTTAAAATTTAGGATCATTTTCCCTACAGAAATAAACCTCAGGATTTATAAAGGAAGCCAATGGAAATTTGTTTTGCTTTAGAGAAAATGCAGGAAAGTTTTTTGTTCTTTATTTCTAGGGCTCTTTTTAGTAACCTCTTTATTTCTTACTAGTTTTCTCATGTGCAATCAATAATATATCATGATATTGTAATATTATCACCAAGCCCACTAGGCTTAGAAATATATACAAACCTTTTTATGGCTAATTCAAATTACAGATTAAAGCTGTGTCACCATAATTTGAGTGGATTCTGGGTAACAGTGTTAGGAACTCAGAATCTAACAGGGAGTAACAGTAGGGACAGGGGAAAGGTGCAAAGAGAAGAGAGTGGGCAGTTAAAGCTCAAAGTTCCACAACATAAGGCTTCAAATACAGTTTTTCTCCATTTTCTTTTTCTCTACATCATCTGTCACACATAGAGAATTTAGTGGCTTTAAATATTAAAAAATTCAGAATTTATGAAGGCTAATATCTGGACACGAAACAATAGGCTTCCTTCCAAGAGAATAACCAGGTGAGGTTATACGGACTCGTTTTGTTTACAGAACACTCAAAATTAAAAAGACTGGTTACCGCCTTGTGGATGCACGACTCGAGGCTGTACAAATGATGGCTTTACAACTTCAAACCACCAGAACAGTTCTGCCATGAGGACCAAGTAATTACTCTACACAAGGGAGTGAAGAAAATTGAAAGAAAAATTAGGGAAGATTTGACCAGAAAATAATGATAAACAGAATGTTATTTATTTAACTACTAATATATAGGTTTCCATCTCATTCATTTATCACCGGAGTGCATCTACTATAGACTATTAGATCTGGAATAAAATATCAGCACTCGTAGGTACAATTATAACAACTGTTCAAAGCTTCCTCGCTGAATAGCTCTGCAGTCCCAGAATAGTAGTTCGATTTACTCTGTGCAGAACTGTGAGAATCATAAACTACTCTTCCTTCTTAAATCAATACAAACAACTCAAACTGCCTTCGACACTCTTAAGAGGGGTTATCATTTATAAAAAATTTTTATGCTATCTCTCGATCACTAAAAATTTCTCCAAAATCTAATTAGGCAGCTAATTAAAAAAATATCACATGTGTGTGATTGATAATGCTGAATTCAACAATAATCCAGGTGGCTAAATAACACCAAGACTCCAGATTATTATTAAGGCTAATTCTTGATAATTTATAAAGGTACAAAACATGATTTATACAACTAATAGCACTACTTAATTTTTGTAATTATTAATATGGATAAATCAACAATGTCATTTGCCTTTTATTATTTTGAACTTTTAAATTCTTGTGACTTATTTTATAACTGGAAGTTTGTACCTCTTAATCCCTTGTTTTTTATTATTTTTATTTGAAAATGTAAATAATTTTTAAAATGGCTAAAAATTTAAAGTATTAAAGAGGGTCCTCAAAAGCACATTTCTGCTGCAAGCTTGTATTTTAAGATGCATATATCATAAAAGCTATAAACATGAATTATTTTAACTGGCATTTGTTAAGTTTTAAAAGAGAGCACTTCATAAAATCTGTTTTTATAATCATTTAAAATAAATCATGCCTTTTTAAATTCTGGTATTTGGCATTTAATAATGTTACTATCAAACTGATTAGTATTTGATGGCTCAGGTCTTATTTCATATTAAATTTCAGTTTTCAAAGTTACCACTGGAAATGTTTTCTAATGCCTTGCCTTCCTCCTGTTAATTATGAGTAATCATCAAGGCTCTATCTACACACCCTCTTAGAGTTCATCTACTCTCTTTGTTTTCTAATACTTAAGCTGGTGACTTCCAAATACTCATCTCTTACTGGCGGTTCCAGAAGGCTGCCATATGTACAGGAAGTAAGGGAGAGACAAGAACCAAGGGTGACTCGGGTTCTGCCTCCATCGACCGACAGCGCCACGTAACGAAATGGGAATGATTGGGACAAGAGTGGAATGAACCGTGAGTCACCAGCTCTGAGTTGCTGATTAGACGGGTAAGTGGACTTAGTGTGTAGGGGGCTCAATGTACTGGGGTGCTACAGAGGACAATGCATGGCGGCGAGCAGAATTTGGTAGGTTTCCTACTTTCAGCATTTGCTTTTAACTATAAATTCACAGAATATTCAAACATTTACATATTAATATACATACTATTTTAAGTAGTCATTAAAATCTGAGATTTTTTTTTTAAAAAGAAATGAAAATGTTTACAATCTCTAAGACTGTGTGTTGGATCCCATCCCTGTACCTTCTCAGAAGCTTTACATTCTTAATTATATTTCTTTCTCCTATATATTTTTTCTTCCCTAACTTAATCCCTCCTCCTTGGCTTTTAAACATGCTCAAATCTCTCTATTAAATACAAAACGAAGCCTTCACTCAGTACCCATCACCTTCCCGTGTCTCCTCGCCCGCTCTCCTCTCCACAAGCCCCGCTGTGCACAGGCTGACTGACCGCCTCCGTTCACCCCCTCCCGCTCTAACCCACTCCGGTCTCTGGCATACAGGTCGTCGTTCCTCTCGAACAGCATGTGCTCGAGTGACTTTACCTATGTTGTTACATCAAGAAGATTTTTCAGTCTTCATCTTACTGGCCTTTCAGCAGCATCTGATAGCATAGGGCCAAGAGAGCATTTTCTCGTGCATATATTTCAAAGGCATTTCAAAGGCACTTCAAACGTCTGGGATTCAACTAATTATCTTCCCTACCAATCCGATCTGCCTCCAGTGTTACCTCAGTGAGAGACACCATTACCCCAGTGTGCAAACCAGGAATCTCAGTCATCCCTGCTGTCTCCTTCTCCCTCCCTCCCGTATCCAATTTACCACCGAAGCCTGCAGGTTTTACACCCTATACATTTCTGGGATTCACTCACTTCTCTCCCTCCTGATGAAAACTACTCTGATTCAAACTGTTTTCATCTCTTGTTTAGATACATCTTTCTTTTTTTCTTTTTGGTTCATTAAGCCAAATTTTTCAAGATACCACACCCCTTCTCCCACTTGCCATTGCTCTTGGGAAACGACTTTGGGCTGCAAGAAGGCACTTGATCACATTTCTTTTTAATTTCTCCATCTAATCTCCATCTAAATGTAATACATTTAATTTCTCATCTAACACCACATTCTCCTTATCTTACCCATCAGAATGTAAGGTCTAGAAGGACAAAGCTTTGGTTCATCATTATATCTGTTTATAAAACAATACTTGGTATGTAATAGACGGTCAATAAATATTTATTGAATGAATGTATAAATGAATGAACATGTAACAAAAATGACCAGTTAGCAAAAGACCAAATTGCTGATGGGGAAAATCTCTGGTAATATGTTCACTGTGATTTATAATTGTTTCTTTATACTTATCTCTATAGTACACTCTAAAGTTAAAGCATAAAACACTATTTAAGGTATTGGTGCTAGGTTCACTCCACTAGTATAGTTAAGTGAAGGTCATCTATAGCTTTTGGAAAAACACTGCTTAAGTGCTCAATTGTCTGTTGAAAGGAAACTATTTTAAAGACCTTTGTGCTCAACATCACTAATCATTAAAGAAATACAAATCAGTATCACAATGAGATACCACTGCACACCTGCTAGAATGGCTAGCATAAAAAACACAAGAATAACAAGTGTTGGTAAGGATGTGGAGAAAAGGGGACACTGTACATTGTCGGTGGGAATGTAAACTGGTGCAGCCACTATGGAGAACAGTTGGAGGATCTTCAAAAAATAAAAAATAGAAATACCATATGACCCAGCAATCCTATTTCTGGGTATATGTCCAAAGAAAATGAAGACAGGATTCAAAGAGATGTCTGCACTCCCATGCTCACTGCAGCATTATTCACAATAGCCAAGCTATGGAGACAACCTAAGGGTGTGTCAACAGATGAATGGATGAACACATGGTATATACATAAAATGCAGAATTTTACAGTCATGAGAAAGAGGGAAACCCTGCCATTTGCGACAGTATGGATGGACCTTGAGGACATTGTTCTAAGTGCAATAAGTCAAACAGAGAAAGACAATTTGGGTATGAAATAATCCACTATGTGGGGTCTAAGCCAAACTCTCATAAATAGTAGGGTGGTGGCTACCAGGGACTGGGCAACAGGGGAAATACAGAGATGTGGGTGATAAGATGAGTAAGTTCTGGGAATCTAATGTTTACAGTTATTGACACTTGAAAGTTGCTCTAAGCGTTAGGTCTTAAATGTTCTCACCACAAAAAAGAAATAATAATTATGTGGCATGGTTGAGTTATTAGCTAATGCTATGATGGTAATCACTGTGCAGACCTTAAACTTACACAATGTTATATGTCACTTAATCTCAAAAAATATTTTAAGCACCTTGGTAAGGTAAACTGTCCTAATAACATAACTGTATTGTGTTTGGCCACAAGATGTCAGCATAATAAGAAATAATTTTTCCAGTTACTAAAGCTTATGAAGATAATTTCTTTCTGAATGTGTGATGATTAACCAACAATAAATCTGTTACCATATTCCAGGAATGATACCAAATCAGTTTCACTTAAAAGCTTTTCTTTCCTTTTTTTTGTTAAGATAGTCATGGAGCTATATATTAACATTCTTAAACAATGCAAACAATATAGAAGAACAGAGACCCATAGAACACAGAATAAAAAGGAAAAGTATGTTTTAACCCCTGGCCCCCAAATCCTACTACCACCCTCAGAAGAAACCACTGCTAACAGTTTTCTGTGTATCTTCCTACACATCTTTTCCCATGCATCTATGTATGTGTACAGATTCGCATTTAAATAGAAAAAGTTTTTTAAAAAGTATGTTACATCATGCTACCTATGTTTGCTATGTACTTTTTTCACTTAATAATGTCTTGGAGTGCTTTCTGAATCAGTAAAATACCTCTACCTTCTTCCTTTAAATAGCTCAGCTATACTACAAAACATTTTAATTGCGTCCCTAAGATAAATTGTTTCCAACTATTCACCACCATGAACAATCCTTATACATACCTTCTATGCATTCTGAATTTGATTACATAGTATCAAATTACCCTCTAAAAAGACCATAACAGTTAATACTTCTACCAAGAGGGGAAGAAAGCCTTCACTCCCTACATCCTTATAAACACTTGTTATTAACAGTGACAATGAGGGTGCCTAGCACCAGGCACCACCCAACCTCTCAAAGAATGGAAGTCTTAAAATATTTAATGGATGTTAGAACTGTGGTTCTAATAGTTTGGCAGAGAATACAGAAGGTGACCAATTCTCAGTAGACAATTATTTTTAATATATATGCCTCATTTAAGAAAACATCTATCTGGATCATGCCAAGACTAAGAAGATCTAAATAAACAACAAGGTTATATATTATTTATTGGAAGTCCAAGGTACACTTAAACAAATGCAACTGATCTTACATCTCAATGTATTTTATTGAGATGATTTTTTCTTTGAGATTTCAGGAACAATATTTAAATTTTTTAAGAGGAAAGTGCCGAAAAGGCATTAACAAGATAGATATGGAAATAATATTTTCTAACTTCCATTTTGATGAAAATGGCAGGTATCAACCTTCAAAATTAATCAAGGTGGAAAGCAGGCACTATTTTGAGTCAGTAGGAGTAGTGGCTTATTTCAGAAAGGCTCTATCTTCCGCCTTGTAGTAATCCAGAAAGAGCTGAAGGAAAAAGGTTTGGAGAATAAGGATGTAAAGAGTCACAAGAATTACTCTGAGAGGGGTTTGTTAGCAATCTGTTTTCAGGCTGGCACTGGAATCATGATTTGGACCAATATAAAGCTGTTCCTCTCAGTCAGACTTTTCAAAAACCTATTATAAGATTATTTTTTCCTAACATGACACGAAGAGGTAAACTTTAGGCAGGTATGTAAGAGACATACAGGAATTTTGTAGCGATGGGCTGCTGGGAATAACAAGCTATTGCTTTGTATCATGAAATTCTGGGACATGCAGCTGCTTTTAACTTGCACCTCAATAACAGCTTTGCCTGGGACATGTCACCACTAGAAAGCTGGTTCAAAGGACAGGGATATTTGTTTTCTTCAGTTACGTATCACCACCACCCAGAACAATATGAGGAGCTCGATAAATATTTCTTTAAAGAATGCTAGTAAGTTGTGGCCTAAAGCTAACAGACCTGACAGTTTGAAGTAAGGGACAAAAGGAATGGCTAATAAAATTCTATTAATTTTTAAAAGATTCATTTCCAGACTATTTTAATATTTCCTTTCTTTCACTAAGTTTTGTCTCAAGTTCTGAGACCCGAGGACTGCTTTCTTGCCAGACATTTCACAGTTCTGTTCAATGCTGACAGTGGTCAGTACTTCCTTCACGCTCCCACTATACTGTTAGCATCTAGCTAAGTAAAATTCAGAAACATTTACTAGCCTTGTATATTTTGCTAGTATTAGGCCAACAGATCAATTTTGTACTATGACTTTAAGTTTAGCTTTGTTCTGTGAAAGAAACCTGTAGCTAATAGTGTATTAAAAAAAAATACAAAAGGGAAATCAAACAAAAAATATTTTTCAAAAACACTTTTGACTGATATTATAACTAATATGTAAACTTAAAGTGGCAAAGCCATTTAGATGTATATATGTTTCCAACAAACTTAGAGTAAAGGAAAGAGTTATTTAATTTACCTTTATGGATGAAGCAGCATAGAGCATATCTTCCAGGGTGAAATGGCAACACTGGTTCAAATATTCTTGGCAAAATTCCTGAATCAGCTGCAGATTATACAGGCTATCAGCCAAAGACATAGTTTCTTTCAAACAAATATCTTCGAATGGGAAAAAGCAAGGTGATACTTTGGGTTAATTTGATAATGTATGTTTCATATCTATTTCAGAATCAGTGACTTAATACAAACACACAATTATGTGGAATCTGTTTAACACATATGAACACATATACATACAGGGTCATTACACAGAAAGACCTAGAAACCAAGCACTGCTTTGCTCAACTATCTTCCTCAGGATTCTACATAAATTTTCCTTGTAAAAGGAACTTACTACTATTGCTTGTTACTTATCAAATACTGTTACTTGAATATTCGTTGCATTTATTGGTAGTCCAGAACCGTCCCCCTGGAACGCTTACCCTCTAATCTGACAACACCGGGGCAGTAGAAGTGAATAAGAGCAGCTAAAGCACAGCCATCTGCACCATCTTTCAACAAATTTTCTACCAATGGAATGCAAGGCAGTTGCTTAAGCAACGTTTGCTCCTTCCTGTAACGAGCCTACAATATAAGAAAGAGATGAGAATAAGTACTAAAACAACATACAGGAAAAAACCAGTATTACAGATTCCAATGTATCAACAAATTGGATACAGCATGAGTCAAGGGAAATGAGAGCCACTCACCAACATCCTTTTCTAAATAATACTAGAGATTACTTCACCAAAGTTACAGAGCAACAGCACTATAGTTTCAAAGCTAAGAACTTCATATAACATTATATTGCTAATTTACATGAAATGACATTTAGCCAAAGTATTTAAATATAAAAGGATTACAAAATGGATTTTGAATACTTTATATCCAAATCATCAGTTCTGCTCTTTTGTAGATATAAATTTCATTTACTTTAATGTTAGACTTAATTAGACCACAAGTTCTTATATGGGAAGAGAAACAGGAGTCCTGGAGCAGAAAGAACTGTAAGAGCCACCCAAATCAGGGACTGGTAGGTTATGACACTATTCTCAAAGGAAATACGGCAATAAGAACTATCACTTTGAAGCACTGGAATCTTATCACCAAGATAGCCTGGCTTGTCATTTGAATGCTCAGGTACTACAAATAAAGTGTAACAACTCTGAAACTGAAAAAATCCCTCCCAATTGAGCTTCCATTACCCAATAACAGCAAGTTTAAGGGTTTCTATTCCTCCTTAGAAAAAAAAGAAGAAACCCTTGTTTTTTAAAGATTACTTGGTGTGCCTGGATAAAATTTGTAAGACAGTTCCCTAAAAGTGAGACTTATTGAAAAATTCAGTATTACGAGAACAAGTTCTGGGTCAGATTACCTAGGGTCGAATCCTGGTTCTGCCGCTTATTAGCTCTGTGAACTTGGACAAGTTGACTTAAACTCTCATTTCTCAGTTTCCCCATCTGTAAAACGGGGATAATGAAAGTATCTGTTTCACAGGACCACTGGAGGACTAAATAAGATGATGGCCATTAAGTGTTATGCACACTGCTGGGCACACAGGCAACAGTAATTAAAGGTTCCTGTTAGCTATTAGCACTCCTAAGGCCAAGAAAAATAATGCTGAAGACTTAATGAAGATGCATACTATTTTATCAGCAAAATTTATAATTATATTGGTTACTGATACAGAGCTTTTTTCAGTAATCAAAACTAATTTTTCTTCTAAGTCCATCTAAACTGGTGATCTCTAATTTTATCATTAAGATCTAATTATGAAATAAAATGCTTTTGTGAGGAAAAAAAAATAGAAAAATAATTTACCAAAAAGAAAATGTTCACTGTTTTAGTGGTGAAGTTAGCTTTCCTTTAGATGATATCCCTCAGAAAAGTATATGCATTAATGAAGAGGGAAATAGTTACTTTTTTTCTCTCTCACTGGCTATGTAAGAAAAAGATTCATGAAACTTTTTCCTCTTGAAGATTTTCAGAGGAGCTTGTTCTCGGCAATCCGTGCAGGCCAGACCTGTGTGTTTAAGGGGGTGCTCCGGACTCAGGGAGTACCTATATTCAGAGAAAAAGCTACACACATGCACTACATGAATTCTTTAATTGATGACTGAATTTTACCTAATCCTCAGAAAACTTCCTTATATTGCTGCCAGCAGTTTAAAAATCAACCATGAAAAAAGAGGAGAGGTGAAGGGAGTTCTCTAGAAAGAACAGAAAGGAGAAAAGGACAGAAAGAAAAGAAAATCAGCCAGTAGCATCTTTTGGCCGCCAGCCCCCTTCGGCACATTCGGCAGGCACAGGTCCGGATTCTCATACCCCTTTCTTTGGCCAGCTGAAAACCACAGAGTCTCCCTCTTGGAAATCCTTTAACTTGGCCGGGCTTAGTCCCAAACTTCCCGGATCTCTAGGACTAGCTTGTTTTCAGCCTACAGTCTGAACTGGACTGAGCTGAGCACGAGGGTCATGGAACAAAGCACTGAATCGTGTGATCTGTCCTACTGCTTTCTGCCAAGTAGCACTTCTGTGCAAGGCGCATGCACACAACACGTACCCAAGGAGCTCTGCAACGGTTCAGCAATAAATGTCTATGTTTTAGAATAGACAATCAGAGATTTATGAGTGGCATGCCAAAACATTTTCCTGAAGATTATATCCCAGAAAATGTATCAGGTAAACCAGCTTTTAATCTTGAAGTTATGTACAACTCCCGGAAAGTTCATTTGCAGTTCATGAAAGTTACAGAATCTTTTATACTTTAACATGCCACATGCTTTACAAACACTGCATGACAACATTCCCTGTTCTTTCTACAAATGGAGAAGCTTGGCATTTAAAAGAGGCATCATATTTTCTTTCAATATTACTGTGTGTTTCTGTTATATTTTTATTTCTGTAGGTGTAAAAAACTACTTCTTCAGTAGTCCAACCCCCAAATTTAATCCTGAAAGATCAACCTTTCAAGTCAAATCCGAATGAATACAGAATAGGTCCGGTACTGGTAAGGACACAGAGAATCTGTCATTTTTTGATCACATAAAAAATGTCCCCTATAATTCAGGCTGAAAAGGAAATGATTCTTTCAAAAAGATGATTTATATATGCAATTCATGTTCACTTTTCCTAAACTTATTAAAACTAATGGGAATCTATATCCATATATTTTTTAAACCTAATTAGTGATGGTCTGTGAACATTCCCAAGATCAGCAAAAGGATGCTTACACTTGAAATTATAAAAGCTTTGAATCCAACTTTAGGCTAGATTAAAAAAATTTTTTTTATACATTATGATCAAATACCTTAAGATCCAATCTCTATGCAGTGACTAACAGAATTATATGAAACAACTATGCTAGCAAGACATAAACAATACCATTCTACAATTACAATTCTGGAGAGCAAATTGAAGTAGCTAAGCAAACTTACTGGAACCAGTTTCCAAAACCATTTGGAAGGAGACTTCAGAGGAAGCAGCAGAAAAAAAGGAAAGTGAAAGGTAAAGGGAAAATTCATCAGAATTATTTTCAATTAACAAGTTACATTAAAGCTGCTGATACTGGAGTTCTAAGTTTATAGCTCTCATAACATTTTTTAAAATGTTAATACTTTAGTCTAAACTATATAGATAGAGACAACCACCTTCTCTTTTCCTCATCTCCTCTCTCAATACAGAAATTCATTTTTAGGATACTCAGGATATGCTGCATATTTTGGTAGCAAAGAATCTTATTTCCAAGTTCTGGAACCGCACTTATTACACAATAAATCTGTATCACAGAAAGGAAGTAGAAAGATTCCAGGGCTGGATCTGCAATCATTACAACTGTTAGCTATCACTTCCCAAAGGGGAAAGAAGAAAGACGGTGCATGGACAAAGAAAGCAATGAGCGAGGCGGGCCCGAGCAAGGGGGTCACTCCTTCGACTATGCTGACCCGTGGACGGTGTAGGTGTTAGGGGGCTGACCGTTCACGCAGCTGAGAATATGCTTCTGACTCCCCCAAGACTTAACTACTAATAACCTGCTATTGAAGAGAAGCCTTAGTGATAACATAAACAACACATATTTTTTATATTATATACTGTATTCTTACAATAAAGCTAGACAAGTTTCCCAACTTGTCACAAATCTCCCAAAAATTTTCCAATGTATTTATTTTAAAAATCTGCCTATAAGTGGACACATATATTTCTTTTTTTTCCTGTTTTTAATTCTGTTGTTTCCATTCAGTTTTTCTTTTTTTTTTAAATTTTTTTATTTTGGTATCATTAATTTACAATTACATGAAGAACATTGTGTTTACTAGGCTCCCCCCTTCACCAAGTCCCCCACACATACCCCTTCACAGTCACTGTCCATCAGTGTAGTAAGATGCTGTAAAATCACTACTTGTCTGCTTGGACACATATATTTCAAAGTCATGTTGTACAAGGGTCAACTGGATATAAAGAATTTCTTTTAATTAATGGGGTTGAGTAAAAAGCTAGTTGGCAAAGTTAAACTTTATATAGAGTCTCTAAAGCAAACATCTACTTATTCACGTAAGAGAATACAAATATTTTTGATTTTACTATCTGGGGTGTCCCAAAGAATAAAACTTTACTTTTTTAAAAAGTTGAATACGATAAACCCATTATTTCAAATAATATGAATTAATAATTTGTGATTGTTTAGCTCTGTATTTCCTAGCATAATTTCTGGCAGCCCTGAATAAATATTTGTTCAATTGAATCAAACTAAATGGGGTCTGAGTTAAAATTCATATTCAACTTTTCTCCTATATAAATTATCAGCAAAAATAAGAATTAGAAAAATAATAGAAGGTACCAAGAATCAGAAAAATGTCATCTCAAGAATCAGAAAAATACCAGCTTCCCATAAAGACAGAACATTCCCAATAAATTTTTTTTCCTTAGTGCATCAGGAAAAATAATTGTAATGATTTTGTTGCATGAATTTTAATCTCTCACTTGAGCAGAAGCTTTGGGCAGCTGCAGTTAGAGGGGCATACAAAGTGTGAGAGCAGGGCCAAAGAGCAGGAAGCCGCTGAGAACGCGGTAGGGGTTCTAATGAGCAGAAATGTCAAAAACAGGGGTTTTCTTGTTTTTGACACAAGAAAAACCCATTATATATAAACAGATGATAATAAATTATTGTGGACTGGTCAAAACAGGGTGTGCAAAGGGGTCTCTACTTGTTCGGTCACTCCGTATCCCCTACAGAACACTCAACAGGACTCCCGCCAACCGGCCGCTCACGCTGGCTCTCCCGCCCTCCCACTGACCTCGATCAGCGAGCGCGATCCTATTAGAGGTGAAGAACCACCATAAAGACTGGCTCGTTAAAGGAAATACGACCTTAAAAAAGGAAATACATTAAAAGAACGAATATTTACAGTGTACATAAACTGTACACTTTATAAACTCATGCCTCAAAAAGTTCAAATATGTAGCACGAGTTCCTGGCTGAAGGATAACTGTATTTCTGAAGTGAAGGGGAACTGCCCCTCCTCTGGTTTCTAGAGAAGAATTGGGAAAATTTTAAATCCTGTTTTAAGGTAAGACCAAAGATTGTTTTTAAAGCCTATAGACGGTAAGTAAGAAAATTTTTATTAAGTTCTTCATGATGGCAGGGCCAGCCTGAGCAGTTCAGATTTTTTGCAATGGCTCTAATTTCAAGTATTCCTTCCCATTGTTTTTATCATACATTTTTGGCTCACTCTAAATTTTGGTTAACTGTTTTAGGATTTTCCAGGTAATTCTATGTCTCCTCTGGGTAGCTACAATCACTCTGGGGTTTTGGATAATTCCTGAATTTCTAGGTGCTCCTGAGCCATTCTAGGAGGACACTCATCTGACCTGCCTTCATCGGACCTCACGACATTAAGATTCTTTAAGGAGTCATTCACAGCTGTGATCTGTTACCTTACTGACACTTAGACCTAAGAATCTCTTCACTGTTGTAGGTCCAGAAGTGCTGAACTGCCAACAGGAATGTCGGATGGTACAAACTCTTCTGGGGGAGATTACGGCAGTAGCTACCACTACATATGCATTTTACTCTTCAACCTAGCAATCTAATTTCTAGGGAATTTACCTTGGAAATCCAAAAATACAAAAGTATATAAACAATTTATTCTTTGTAGCATTACCTGTAAGTATAAGATACTATAAATTACTTAAATGGCATAGGAAAGTGGTTGAACCATTATGTCTCAGTAACAATGGGGAAAAAACATAAAAAGGGTGAAAAAAAAAAGAAAAAGCAATTACAAACCAATCTTAAACTCCTTGGTAGGTTTATTTTTTCATATTCTGAAACTATTTTATATGTAGTGTAGGATTAAGCAAATAAGTACATATCAAAGTAGCTCCTCTCAATTACTCAAAAAAAATTGGTATTTTCCAAGAAACCAGACAATGTCTTAACCAACTAGTCAAGATGAACTTCATCTAGTAGGGGCAAATGGGTATCACGTACCTCTGGATATAATACTGTGAGAAGGACACAATTTACATACTATTCCATCTAAAAAGCACAACCTTGGTCTATGAGTAAATACCAGAAAAACTCAAGTTGAGAGATATTCTATGAAAATGACCTATATTCTTCAAAAATGGCAAGGTGATGAATGAAAAAGAAAAGCTAAGGAAATGCTCCAGTTTAAAGACAGCTAGGATAGGACAACTCAACACATTACGTGATCTTGGACTGGATCTTACACTGGAAGACAAATATTATATAATTGGGACAATTGGCAAAATTGGAATAAAGGCTATTAAGTTTATTCAGAATGTTAGATTAACTTTAAATTAAGTATACTATAGTTATATAAACAACCTTGTTCTTAGGAAATATCCATTTAAGCATTAACAAATAAGGGGTATGAAGTATGCAACCCTCTTGAAAGTTTCAGAAAAATTTACATGTGTGTATGCAATATATACATTTGTGTATAATTATAGATGAGAGAGATAGAGAGAGAGAGAGAGAGAGAGAGAGAGAGGAAATGTAGCGAAATGTTAAACTGACGAATCTGGGGAAAGATCATATAGAGTTGTTTCAAAACTAATCTACAACTTTTTAAAAGTTTGAAATTATTTCAAAGTAAGTGGTCTTAAAAAGTTATATTGAGTCTATACCCATCCAAATAGTTGTAGAGTCTTTTGTCCAAATGCACAAGACTCTACAAAGCTGTTGGAGAAATCTCATTTTTATAATACTCTTAGGCAAGGATTAAAATCATGGCATTAAGACATCTAACTAATATATAAGTCTCTTCAGGCCAATAAAATATTGCTTGGAGAAAAAAAAGTCAAGGTCCCATCTTGGAACTGAAAAAAATGTTTAAAATGCCAAGTTTCTCATTTAAATACTAAATGAGTTGACAATACAACAGGGACATATTCTAGATTGGGAAGCTATGTCACCAGCAAGGGCGAGCAAATCATTATGGAAGAGAAAAGGTATGTTGGCAATAGGCGTAAAGAAAGAAAGAGCATCACCACAAAAATCTACACAATTATACAGCAAAATCTTGGGTGAAATAAATTTTTTTAATGATCTAATTTAGGCAGTTCAAGTCTTCACAGTTATTTAACTGAAATAATAGTATGAAAAAGAAAACAAGGTAAATCTGAATGAGTCAAACCAAGCGATGCATCTGAGAATGAGCACTATACCGAAACACTACACGCTTGTTCTATATATTTATGTATGTACAGAATAGACAGCTTAATCACAAAGTTACAGGTTACAAATCGATGTTTCCCAAAGTACGCTCCAAAGAGCACCCATTCTGTGAGATGTTAGTCGATATCATTTATAAAAGAGTTCAAAGATCAAACATGTTTGGTAAACTTATGGACAGGCTCCCTTACTGAGCAAGATTCTTAAAGGAGTGCAGAGTAGGCAGCATTTCCCGAACGTATTTGACTTCAGAACGCTTTTCTCAAATAGCATTTTAGGTACTGTGTGAAGAAATGGAGTTTTTTTTTAAAGTAAGTTATAGTTTTTAATTGCTAAGGAACTCTGGCTAAAGCGGAAGTTCACGTGGGCCGAGGTCATCAAGCGAAGATGTGCAGGCCTTCACCGCCTGCCTCGCGGGGCAAGGGCGGTCTATTCGACAGCATGCCTTTAAAAGAAAAGCAATCAGCGCTCAGTGTCTTTTCTCCAAAGGCAGCTCCTTCATCTCATCTCACCCCTCTGCTGTAAAATAACTCACCAATATTTCTCTTTCAAAAGTGACAAATGTTAGACTGAATAGACATGTATCTTTAATATTGAGAGAAACAAACTTTATATGCTTAGTACTGTAAACTTAAGAATACAACTTATGAATTCAAAGCTCTTTTAAAAACGATCGAAATGGTCTACTCACTAATTCCCAAAAGTGCCTTTTACTTGCAACTTCATGTCACCATTCATGTATTCCTCATGACCTAGTGCCCTCCTCTGCAAATACCATAAAATCCACTAAGGCCCTGTTCAAGTCCCACATCCTCTAGAAGGCCTTCTTAGATTTCTAACTCCCAGTTACCATATATACATACATATATGAAACTTTACATTAAACTTTCACATTACCGACTACTTACTATTTTCATTAGCTTTTCGTTTTGAGTCCCTTACAGTTATTAATATATTAAGAAGGCGAAATTTAAGACACATTTTAGTTACAGAATTTAGGAGTCATTAATCCTTTCAACTTTTACAGATAAAACAAGGCCCAGAGTGGTCAAGTGCCTTTGTGAAAGTCCTGAAGCTAGTTGGTGGCAGAGCTATTCTGCCTTTAAGCTCACTGTTCATTTTCTACAGCACTGCGCACAAACTCTTTAAAGGATGAATGCTGGACTTAATGTCCCTGGCTATAAACTTTAGAGATCTTTAAAGTAGGGCTGCCAGATTCAGCAAATAAAAATACAAGATACTCATGCAACTTATGCCAAAAAATTATTTGTTGCTTATCTGAAATTCAAAGTTAACTAGGCATTCTACTTTAAAATCAAAATAAGTATTAGAAGCAAAAAGAACTTGAAAAAAAAAGAAAGAAAATAATAGTAAACTATTTAAAACAAAACATTTTCCTAGGACCCTGCACTATTGAAATGCCCTCCTCTTAAGACACCAACTGATACAACAAGCAGAAATACATCATCAGAAGATCCAACAATCTAAAGAAATACCTTCGGAATTTTAATTTTGGTCCATCACTAGTAATATACAGTGCAAGTATCCTTCAACATGAGCACTGATTTTACGAAGAAGATGGCTGTAAAAAGAAGTTTCATAAAATAAATTCTACTGGACATCTGAATTGAGAATAGCTGGCAAGGACAAAAGGTTAAGATGTTATAATCCAACACCACGGGCTCTACCTAGAGCGGCCAGGTCACAGACAGCAGGGCTAGGCAGCTGGGCTCAACTCACTGGACAAGCCAGCTTAGTGGGTGCACTGCGTGGTGACCCCTGAGCAACTGCACAGTCATAAGAAAGAGTGAGTTATTCTCTCTTACATCCTGAAAAGGATCAAGAATCTTAACTTTATAGGAATAAAAATCAAGAATGATTATATTTCTAGCCAAATCAAGTAGTTCAAAATGTGAAAACTCCCATAGTTATGCTAACAGTGGAAATTTCTTTCCCTTGTTTATGCTGTGACAGTGTTTCTTCATAATGACGACATTTGTATTTTGCAGTAAGACTATGTGAAATTAATACTTATTTTCAGAAAGATTCTAATGGGAAAAAACTGCATTTGAAAATGAAGGTGTAAATGTTGTTTGTGTTAACATAAAAATGTATATTAATCCAAATATTTAAAAGTGAATCACATTCATTTATTCATTTATTCAATCACTCAAGAGAAATACTGGTTGTGAGGTTAATATGTGCAATTGCATGGGGCTAAGTGCTATGAAAAATCAAAGTGATGTAATACAGTATCTGGACTCTATATAGTTTGTTTTTCCTAAAGGTCACTTTATCTGGTTGCTTGGAATAACAAATGGCATTTTTTTCACAGAAATCATGTTTACTGGGTCCTATGTCAGCATATATAATCAATCCCCATTGTGTTCATGATGTATATGCAATACTACACAATTTAATCATTATATACAATAAACAATGTCTACGGAAAAAGGCCATTAGTGTTGTAACTTAGAATGATTCTAATACCTAACAGGTAAGGGCTGGGGGAGTGAGAAGGAAAAGACAGGGAAAGAAACTGGTTGAAGGCAGGGAAATGGAACACAATCTGGGATGACAGGAAGAGATTCCCATTCTGATTTATCTTCAGGGGAAAGGATGGGATGTCAACAAAGTTAGAAGAATGAAGCACACTTCGTATTTTCAAGAGCAGCCAGTAAACTAAGTGAGGGAAATCACTGTGATCCAAAAACATCAAATTCAGACAAAATTTTAGGTGGTCTTCCACAAAACATTCCCATTGATGTTGATAACACACAAAATAGCTTTCTCTTTCCTTCCTTTTTTCTCTTTCTCTTATAAATGTATCAATGACTAGTAGCATTAGCCCCAAATGAATAGAAGTACTGTATAATAATAAAGAGACTTAAAATAATCCAAGTAGAAAATAAGGTCTCTGAATAATTATAATTTCTCTTACATTCAAATGCTATACAAGATATAATACATTTTTAAAAATTCAGATATATTGTAGAAAATATACTTCTGGTCTTAGTATATGACAAATACAAATTTTCAAAGAAAAAGTCTAAAAGCCTATTGAATAATTTTTAAAGAATGAATCCATGTAATGTTTCTTCTTTCTTTAGAGAATAACCATAAGTATAACATACAGTTCCTGGAATATATTTTAAAGGTTAGTCTCATTACAAGTCATTATAAGGCTAATACACTGAAAACTGTTTTCTTTTTTGATACATTTTATCACAGGAAAAAACATTATTTTTGCCAAAAGAACCTAAGAAATTGAGCTCTTCTCATTAATTTTTCCTAAAAAACTTTCATTCAATTGACCTTTACTTTGTACTTCTACTTACTTGGTGTTTATGGCATGCTTTCTAGAGTACAGTTAACAGCACCAAAAAAAAATTAATGAACACAATTAATAACATTTCCCAAAGCAATATGTATATATATATATATATATATATATATATATACACATGAGCATATACCGAGTCTCGTAAAGGCACCTCTTTTCCTTTGAAATATGTACCTTTTGACCTCCTGGAGCTTCAACTGTGTGATGTTCTTTCAATTTCTGTTCTTGTTCCATTATGTCTTTCAAGTGTTCATTGACCTTAAGACACAAAAATATACATTTGAACTTACATTCAAATATAACAATAAAATAACATGCACCTTAAAATCAAATGCCTGTGGTCAGATCTCTGATGTCAAATATCAGTGCCACTCACATGAAGAAAACTTCCAACCAGAAAAGAGTACTTTACACGTGCTTTAGCTTTACTTGATATTCTAAAATGAATACATAATTTATCAAACATCTGTTGAGCCTCTTATTATATGTTTGGAGTTGGAGTGCTAGAGATAAAAGGTACTCAGTAACTTTAGTTTTAATGGTTAGGAAGCAGTAAAACTTTTTGTAAAAATTTCACAATCTCTTTTAGGACTAGTAAATGAAAATTATTTTCCCTAAAATAAATGTTTTCATTAATATTGATAGAAAACACTTTGAATCAAGTTGTTAAGTTATGATTTCATAGACGTGCTCCTGGATCATGAGTGGGTTTTAGTGTGGTTCTTAACCACAATAAAATACATGAAAAATGTTTGCATATGGGAATTTTTTTGACGGGTCTAATTTATTTGCTTTCAAATAGATTATTCAAATAGCCCACAATCCAAAAAGGTTTAGGACTCAGTCTATCTAATACAAAAAATACTTCCTGAGAATAGTTTAGGCAAGTCTGGATTTTTGAGTTAAAATTATTTTTAGTTTTTTAAGGCCACTCTAGTAATAATAAAAGTTCAAATTTATTAATAATGGCACTCTAGAAAATATTAATGACATTATCAACCACTATTACTCTAAACTAAATCAAGAATTTTCTGAATTCTTCTACTGCCAAAAATTCTATTCAATGGCTGAAAGAAAAATCATTGGAGAATTTTATGATAGACTTAATAAGTTACTAGGAGTCTTCTCTATTTGTGACATTTATAAGGCATTTTATTTGATTCTATATCTCTGACTTTTTATTCTAATTTTCATTCTAAATTTTTTCTAAATTTGATTTTGCATATTTATTTATAGTGCTATAGCACTTTAAGATACCTTAATCTCTGAGACGGTCAATTTGACTGGATAAGATACTCTAAGAGACAGCAGAATTAGAAAAGACCTGGGTCTGCCTCAAAACTTGCACTTACAGGCTGTTTTATATAATTTGTTGATATCATTGAGCCATAATTGCTAGTTTGCACAAAACTTACTTCACAAAGTAGTCTGGGGTATTATGGCTCTAAAATGGTCCCCAGTGATCTCTGGCAAGTGTGGGCAGGACACACAGTTTGCTTCCAACAGAACATAACTGAGGTGATGCGACATCACTTCTGCGGCTATGTCATGGAACACTGTAATTTGCATCTCTTCTAGCTGATTTTCCCTATGGCTTTCTTGTCATCTTTCTGAGGAAGCAAGCTGCTCTGCTGTGAGCTGCCTTGCGGAGGGGCCACATGGCAGGAGCGGAGGGTTGCCTCCAGCTGCCAGCCAGTAAGAAACTGAACACTGCCAACCACATGAACTTGGAAGCGGATCCTTCCATTGTCAGACCCTCACATGTGACTCCAGACCTGGCCACCACCTTCACTGCAGCCTTGTAAGAGACTTTAGAGACAGAGGATGAAGCTAAGCAACCCTGGATTCCTGACCCACAGAAACTGCTAATATTGAGATATTAAAGATAAGTAAATAAATCACTGACAAAGTAAAAAGTGTCAGCTAAGTTTGTAATAATTATCATACTATACTAGCTACTAATACAGAGAATAAAAGAGATAATGTATAATACGTACCAAGTAAAGTACATGATACAAAGCACATACATCATAAATAGAAACTATTGCTGGTATTTATAAACAATATAATAGTAGTATCAGAAAGTTAAATATCTATAAGGGCTTTAACAAATCCAAATCAAAACATTTTAAGCTGATATAATGATATAAATCATTCTTAAAATACCAACATCATGATTATAAGAAAATTATATTTGTTGATAATTCATTAGCTTTCATACTAGGGAGAATACAAGAAAACTACAAGACAGGGTCACTTCAAGTTATTTAATCACCTGGGTACAGAGGACAGATAAGTGAAATAATTAGCTTAGTGGTTCTCAAACAATTATGATGGTCTCATTCTTGCTGCTGGAAGGTGGTTTAGGTATAGGTATGGAACTCCTGGCCAGAAAGTTCTACCACTAAAGTTGAATCACTTCATTCTTTGTTCATCTCAAGGATAAAAGTTAAAGGAATGTATCAGAGAGTTCACCATGGCTCAGAGTTAGTTCACCACTTCAACAAGCATTGAGGACTAACAACTTAAGAGAAAAATATAACAAACAGTTGGCTCTAGCAATGTGAATTAGTTAAAAATGAACTGGCTAAAATGACACATAAAATTTTAAATATCTATTAATTTTAAATTATATATTACCTTTTACTTCTTGAAATTTTTTTCAATTATAATACATTTTAGTAATGTATGTCCTTCCTTAATACAAGTCTAAAATTCATCAATACTTTTATTTTCCTCTGAGCAATATAAAAACCTCAGAAAGGCTTTATTTGAAATATGCTCCTCTCATCTTCCATGTTGTTTTACCTAGAATTATAGTTCTTTCTTCTTATGGCTGCAAAATTAGACACTATGATGATTTTTTATAACACTTACCTAGATTTAACCCTATGCATACCAATTTCTTTTTTTATCATTGCTTCCTATATCCTACTTTTCTTCTAGGATCAATTTGTTTCTTCCTGAAGTAACTTTTAATAGTTCTTCCTGCAAAGGTCTGAGTAATAAACCACTTTTCTTTATCTGAACAACTCTTGATTTTTACCTTTAATCCTGAATGAAAGGTACAGACCTCTAGGTTCATAGTCATTTTTCTTCAGCACTTGGAAGATTTTGCTGCACTGCCTTCTGGCTTCAAGCATTACTGCTGAGAAGTCTACTTCAGTCTGCCGTTCCTTTAAGAGACTCTGTCTTTGATCTTTGGAGTCTGCATTTTCATTACTATATGTATAGAGGTGGATTTATTTTCATTTATCCTGGTCGGAACTCATTGTGGTTCCTGAATTTGAAAGTTATCTTTCACCAAAACTAGAAAATTTCACCCATTATCTCTTCAAATATAGTCTCTAGCCCCCCTTCTCTTTATTAATCCCTTTTTGGAATTCCAATTAGGCCCAAGGGCATGTCTATTAATCTAAATTTCATATATGCCATTTCATTTCTCTTGGCTTCATTCTGGGTAATTTCCTCTCAGTAAACTAATTCCTTCTTCAACTGTGTCTAATCTTCTGTTTAAACTTTTGGTTTTCAGTGAGTAAAATTTTCCATTTCTAAACTTATATGTTTTTTTTTCCATTATGCCTTCTATGGTGCCTTATTCTTTCCTATGATTTTTATTCTATGTTTTATTTTCAGTCATTTAAACATTTATTTTTCTAGTCTTTTTCAGATTATTCTCATGTCTGAAGCTATTAGAGTTTAACTCTTATTTGTTATGGTCACTGACTCTTTTATGTGCCAGATTACTTCTCTGTGCATTTCATCATTTTTGTCAGTTTTTGCATCTGCAGAGAAGATTCTCCCTCCCCTAACCACCTGGAAGACCCCTGGCTTTGGTGTGGAAGCAAACTTTCAGAGCCAATTAACATTTACTTCCCTGCCAGGTGCCAGAAAGGCATCACTGGCCTGGCATTAGTCTTTTTGTTAATTTGATGCTCTCTCCCCCTTTATTTCCTGCTGTCAGAACCACAGCTGGGCACTCATCTTCCTGTGGTCAGTTAGGAGGCCTCTTCCCCACACTGAGCGGGGACCACTGGCAGCCTAAAACAATTATGATGGTCTCATTCTGGCTGCTGGAAGGTGGTTTAGGTATAGGTATGAGTACCAGTCTAAGGCAAAGGAACTTTCTGGGGTTGGCGTGGGCCACCTTTTTGGGTAAGGTTTTCCTGGCTAACATCAGTGTCCAGAACCCACATATCTTTGCTGGACATCGTTGTACTGCGTCTGACACTTGGAACCACTGCCACCATTTTACGACATGAATGTAGATTATATTTGTGAATGTAATATCCAGAAAAAAAGGCAACTAGGTGAGGATGAGCAAAAGGCACATATATACTAATCTGAGAGGCCAGGGTGTAGTCGTTATTAAAGAATAAATAATGAAGCTTGTGTTGGTAGAATGGAGCAATAAAAAAACACTGAGGTTTAGACTGAGCTGAAAGGTTATAAACTTCATCTAAAAATTGAATAGGGATGGCTGCATTAAACATTTCTAAGTAAGTGATTTCCTATCTTCTGTCAATTTCCCAAGTGCTAAAGTGCCTCACTTAATTCTGTAGCCTTAACTACCTCTTTACTTATTAAGCAACAAGCCTTTGTCAAACACTGCCCTGGTGCAGGCATTAGAACTAAAAGCTCTCACACAGATTATTCTCATTTGTTCAAACGATTAAGCAAAGTAATCACAAACTCTGATAAGTGCTATAAAGGCAAGAAAGAGTATTATAGTGGAAAACAAGAGCTGATAGTGTCTGCTTTAGACAAAGTTGTAAGGGGAAAGTGCTGTCTAAACGGAGAAATGATGGGTCAGGAGCCATGCAAAATGCTGGCAGACAAGCTGCCCAGAAGCCAGAGGCATCCGTCTGAAAGCTGAGGGTGAGCTGCATGGCTGGGATGCAGGGGGAGACGTGAGGAGGAGGAACCCTGGCCATGAGCCTAGATGGAGAAGTACACAGGGGTCAGTTAGAGCGTACTTCGTAGGCCATGACAAATTCTACATTTCATTTTAAAATAAAGCCACAGAAGCGTTTCAGCAAAGGAAGGACAAGATGCAAGTAGTTAACAGTAAAAAGATACTCTGAAAGTTTTGGTTCTGATAATAGTGGAACTGCATGTTATCAACCTCAGTTTCCCAGAGGCGACAAGTATAAACTCTGGACAAAACACAGAAGGCAACTGTTGAAGGTGCTGGAGAGCAACGGAAAGCAGGCAGAAAAGGGAATGGATGCAACCTTTGAAAGAAAGGCACACACTGAGTGAAATCTGTGTTTGCATGGTTTCCCCTCAACCCACACAAAGCAGAAACTACTTTTGTTCGTTTGAGGAACCAGGAGAGAAAGGAGGCTGTCAGAATGGCCGGATGTTGTGGAGGAGAATCATAGTAGGAAGGAAACATTAGCGGGGAGCCCCCAAATGTGCATATAAACTGTCCTCAAACCCTTGGCTGAGCCCTGAACTGGGCGGGTGTAAGAGAGACTCCTGAGTCCAGGGGGAAAACGACTCCTGGGAAGCTGAAGAAGCTGCCCACTGCAGGGGACAGTGTGGCACTCAGTCCCACTGAGGTGGAGGAGGCAGCGTCTGGTAACCGTCTTGGGTTTTCCGCTGAAACTTCAGAGGGGCACATGTGCTTCAGAAGTAGAGACCGGATATAAGATGAGCGCAGAAGAGCAGTTGCTGGATTTGTCAAAATGGAAGCCTGCAATGACTGACCAGGGCAACTTCAGGGAAGGAACGGGGATGGGAAACAGAGCAGGGAAGGCTCGTGAATGAGTGAATGACTCTGTGGGGAAGTTCTGTGTACACAGAAATGGGGTTGAATCTGGAAGGGGAAGTTTTGTTTACCAGGGTGGGAGACGCTAGAGCAAGTCTGTATTCTTACGGAGACTGACCCAGCCAGAGGAGAATCGGGGTTGCAGGAGAGGGACGGAGGAGGCATGTGATCCACACATCACTGCATTGGCATCACCTGGGGTTGCTTAGCAATGCAGCCTATCAGTCAGATCCTGTATTTTAGCAAGTTTCCAGACGATTCTTATGTATATTAAAGTTCAAGAAGAACCGAAACAGAGGACCAACACCCGTGAAAAGGGAAGAGGTGATCTAGAGCAGTGAGTAGTGCCTTTGGCAGGGAGGGAAGAACATTCTCCCTCGTAACAGCAGGAGAGACAGACAGCAGGTGCTGAAGCAAAAGGTGTGCAGAGCTGGTAGAAAGAAGAAATAATTGCCACCCGATGGCTTCCCATTCCTGGTCTCAGAAAAGGATGTGGCAAGGTCCTCAGCTGACATTTACAGCAGAAGGGTTAGGGAAGGCCTGAGGATTCGAGAAGGGATGACTCCATTATGTGTGGGAAAGTGAACTTCTTAGAGACACTAGTCACACTGGCAGTTGAGTTTTGAGGGTCCATCTGAAGTCTGTGCTTACGAATTTGAAGTGAAACTAGATTCCTTGTGTAAATTCCAGCAACATTCACCTTCACAGGAAGCACCTTAGAGATAAGGTGGGTAACTGAGCTCAACCAGCATTTATCAGGCGAGTAAGAGAGAAAGAGAAGGAGGCTGAAGAACTAATGGTGCAAGAATCTGAATTCGAAAAGGAGATGTAAAGTCAAGTGAGGTTGTAAGAATGAAAAGGGCTCGTCAATGGACTGGCAGTCATGATTAAAATTTTTAATAGCAGGGGGTATTAGAGTAAGTGAAAGAATTATTCAAGAATGAGATGAAATTCAAGATGATATGCAATGGGACAAAGAAGTCACATAGTTTCTGATGATAAATAGGGCTAGGATGTGACCAAAATTCTCTATACCTAAGGAGGTGTGTAAAAAAGATGACTAAAGATGAAGAAATAAAGGAACTGCAGCGCAGTGTTAAATGAGTCTTCTACATTAATGTTGATATTTCTGATAACGATGACAGATGTAGGAGTTTTTACACTTAGCTTCTTGTTACCAGCTTCAGGGAAGCATCCACACAAAGATAACTGAAGATGTAACTTCTTTTAAATCTGTTCAGAGACTGCTTACAGAAAAAGTTTACTTTTCTCTGGGAAGACAGTTGTAAATAAAGGGATTCGAGAGGTATTAACTACTCAAATTGGCAAAGGGAGTGATAAGACAATTTAAGCATCTTCAGAGCTTAAATAACCAATCACAACCCCATAAAAATTTCCAAGAGGAATCTATAATCTATATAAGCTTATGCAACTCAGTCAAGCAAAGCTAAGAATCATCACATTGGGAAATTGAGAAAATCATTTCATTCTTGGATTCAAAAATTACTGACCATCCCGCAGTGTATCATGCCCTACTCAGAGTGCTCTGAATTTTGTAATTATCTGATATGAACTAGATTAATCATTATTAAATTACAACTGACCCTTGAACAACCTGGGAAATAAGGGTGCTGACCCTTGTGCAGTTGAACACCTTACTCCCCCCAGGACTGAACTACTACTGGAAACCTTACTGAAACAGTTCAGCAACACATATTTTGTATATGTATTATATACTCTATCTTACCATAAAGCAAGCAGGGGAAAAGAAAACGTTTTTTCAAATTGTCACAGATCTCCAAATAATTTTTCAATACATTTATTAAACAAAATCCGTATCTAAGTGGACCCATGCAGTTCAAACCTGTGCTGTTCAAGGGTCAACTGCATAAATATTGAGGAATATATATAGAAATCTATTTTCATCATTTTACCAGTATTTTGTTTTTAACCAAAAGAGAATTGGAAATTTTAAGATTGCACTTTAGCTTTCACTTTGATTTAGAACAGAAAGAGTAATGGAAGGTGTCTTAGTCCATTCAGACTGCTGTAACAAAAAATAACTATGTACTGGGTGGCTTATAAACAACAGAAATGTATTTCTCACAGTTCTGGAATCTGGAAGTTTAGGATCAGAACACAGGCAAGTGTGGTGTCTGGTGAGGGCCTGCTCTGTGGCCACCTTCTTGCTGTGACCTCACATGGTGGAAGCAGCAAAGGAGATCTGGGGTGTCTTTTTTATGGGTGCTAATCCCATTCCTAATCACCTCCCAGAAGCCCCATCTCCTAATACCATCACACTAGAGGTTAAGATTTCAACACATATGAATTTGGGGGACACACAAACATTCCGTCTATAGCAGAGTGGCAATGTACAATGGAGGACGTCACTTCAGTCATGACACCCATTTTCACTCAAGCGCATATGTTCCTACCTTATTTATCCAGTACATGACAGCATCCTCAATATCATAGGGCAGATCCGTGGCTTGGAAAAAAGCTGAATACTGTTGAGCGCACGCAATTACTTTCTCTATACTGACCATTTCCACAGTGTAAGCCATCATTAGGGTATCTATCATGGCCAAATGAGCACTCTGAAAATAGAAAACAACAGCAGTTTAAAAGTTATACTTAGAAATTGCTCTTCACATATTTTAAAATATTAACATTTCCTAGCACACAGTAGAACTAAAGGCTATAGAAGATGAGCCTTAATAAGGAAGCTTAAGTGGTACATGCTAAAGATGAGCAACTGAACCAAATTAATTTCTCATTCAAATATTTATTGAGGACCTACAGTTAATACATTCATTTTATGCCACTCTGAGGACATGGACATTATCTTAGTTATCACCCTATTTCCGACACCTAACATGGGACCTCGCAACTAGCAAGGGCTGAAGAAAGTGAAGGGGGGCCGGAAAAGCTAGTCTATGGCCAAATGAAGAATGAAGGGCTGGCTTTACAATGGAGGCTTGAGGACGAGGGTTTTGATTGGGGTGGCAGACCAGCTTGTCTTAATAATGGCAATCATAAAAGCAATGGTGACTCCTACTTAGTAAATCTAACTTATAGGCCAAATACTGTGCTAAGTACTTTCTTAATATATTAGCTCTTTTATTTTAAATCTTTTCTGAAATAAGGCTGAAGATAATACATACTTTCCATAACAATCACAACTTTCTGAAGGAAGTATCATTTACATTTTATATGTGAAAAAGATGAAGTTCAGAAAACTGAATAGTTTGTCCAAACCTATGTGCTCTTTCTAGTGTATCATGCAGTTGGCAGAAACTAAGTCATTTAGTTAGGCAAGAAATATGTTTTGGAAATGATAGACATTCTATGCAAGAAAGAAAAATAAGCATCAATAATTGTTTCAAATTCAAATGCTATTTCCATATTCCACCTCATCCAAGAAGTCTTCTCCAGACTGCAATTGCCTAGATTTCCCAGGGCTTCCTTCAGACTCATAGCAGCACTGTGGCAATTCTAGCATCTATCCACTCAAGTCACTTACTGCACGTGTCCTAGATATTAAACTCTAGCCCTTGGAAGCAAGTAGGCTGTCCTTTTCATCTTTGTTCCCAACACAGTGTTTTGTTTTAATGAGGAAAAGTGCTTCATAACTGGTATTTAAAGCATTAAGAAGGATAACTTTTTGAACAAAAATGTGGGAAAACATTTCAAGAGCTATAAAAATCATTCATGTACTCTTCATCAAGACTCTCTTCATAATTTACTCTACAGATAAATCTGAGGACAAAAGAGCTAGACAAGTGAAAGTGACCACTATAATATTAGATGTAACAGCAAGAAAGGAAACAATGTTATAACCACAAGGAGCGATTTATGATATCTTAAACCATTTAACAATAGGGGAAAATGTGCATAATACAATACTGAATGGAAAAAAAACCCACCACCATACTATAATAAGGTTCAAGATACACACACACACACGTATATATGTGTGTATATATATACACATATAATATATATAAAATAGGAAGGGAAAAGGAATAAGGTAAAACTTACTTAGAAACTACTTTGTTAAATATGCAAAAAACATATAAAACCTATAGTTTACTTCAAATATTAGGATAGTAAACACTAAATATAATTAGCAGTACATTTTCAGAACAAAGCTCATTTCATTGATTACCTTCTAAATTAAAAAAAATTTTAATTTCACTACTGACCTCAAAGTAATTTCCATATGACAGTCACCCACTTTTAAATTAAGAACCTTCATAGTTTAGCATTTTTCCCTTTACCTTTAACATGAGGTAGTGTTACTTTAAAAATCATGTATAACAAAGTATATACATAATGAATCTAGAACATTAAAAAATAAACTCTAGGCTACAACCAATATAGAATGATTTATGTCTCTAAATAAAATACACTTACTTAATTTCTTACCCAAAAGCATTAAGCCAGAATAAAACAGTTAACACTGAGTATTTACATGACAGGCAATGTTTTTAGCACTTGTATTAAACTCGATACAACTCTGCAGGATGCACTATTATTATAACTATTTCACAGACGAGAAAATTGTGAACCTGTTCATTAAACAGCAAGGATGCAGTGATGTGGGGATTCAGCGCCGGGAGTCTGCTCGAGAGTCCACGGCATCCAGCACCAGTCCTGTGGATGTACCCCACATTCCACACGCGGACTCTTGGCGGCGAAGGGGGCAACAGCCACAGGACAGAAGCAGCAGTTGTGACCTGAGGCCGCCAGGGGGCAGAGCGGAATGGATGTGTAAGGACAGCGGTATTAGGACTGGTGTGGAAGAAAAAGCAGTTGGAATGAAAAATAAAAGGACAGAGTCCCAGAGAACCTACTGAGCGCTTCAAGTATCATACAAAGACCAGTATTAGGCTCTATACATGTGTTACAAGGGTTCTATTTTTTTGTATCCAATATAGACAAGAAAAAGTTACATTTTATCAGAAATGAAAGTTAAAGCTACTAAATAAACAAGAGTAAGTGTTATAGGTAAGAAGTTTATTAACCTTATAAATGAATAAGAACTTCTAGTAGTGTATGGCTTTTATTCTTATACCAGATATTTTACATATCATTTATTTTTAAACACTTTTACCATAAGTCTATCTTTAATCTACATGGAAATAAAAGTAAATTGCACTTAAAACCCTACTGAGGTATCACTACATATCCACTAGCAAGGCTATAATTAAAAAAAATAACAACTCTTGGCAAGGATGTAGAGAACCCTGACCCCTTACACACTGTTAGTGGGAATGTAAAATAGTGCAGCCGCTGTGGAGAACAGTATGGCAGGGCCTCAAAAGGTGAAACAAAGAGTTACCACTTGACCCAGCAATTCTCTTTTTTTGGTGTATACCCAAGAAAAATGAAAACATATGTTCACAAGGTCTATCCACAAATACTCAGAGTAGCATTATTCATAATAGCCAAAAAGGTAGTAACAACCCAACTGCTATATGGTAAGCAAAATGTTATACAGCCATACAAAGGAACGCAATTCAGCAAGAAAATGTAATAAAGGCTGACATATGCTTAAATACAGACAAACCTTGAAAACATGCTAAGTGAAAGATGCCAGACACACATACATGAACTACTCCACTTACACAAAATGTCCAGAATGGGCAAATATACAGAGATAGAAAGTAAGTTTGCTTACAGTTGAGGATGGGAGATGGGGGACAGGAGGGTGACAGCTGCTAAGGGTATATGTAGGGTTTCCTTCTGAGTTCATAGAAATTTTCTAAAATTGATTGTGGTGATGCTCGCACAACTCAGACTATACTAAAAACCACTGCATTGTATACTTCAAGTGAGTGAATGGCATGGTATGCCAACTACATTTCAAAATGTTACCCCAAAATACCAATTTATGATGCTCCGCTCCCACTATTCCAGTGTAAATACTTCATATTTATCTCATAAATCATCTATGGCTTTAAGGAAGGTAGTTAGCCATTATCCTATGTATTTGCAAAGTATCTTTATAAGTATTTTAAGGTGAAGGGTCATTAATTTTTCTAGACAGTAGGATATTTTGGATATTATGAAAAATAAATTAACATTTGCTTATTTACATAAGTTTGTATTTCTGCAAGCAGGAAACATATACATATGGATTGACTATAAATTGGAAAATAGGTAAATAGGAAAAATTATTTCTATTTTCCTCCCATAGATTTTCATTTAATTTCTTAAGATGCCAGCTAGTCTGGATAAAAGGCATATAATTTATTTTTAAAGATAATTTATGATCTTTCTTAGACATTCCTTAATTATTTTATCAGCTAGAATCTTACAGATACATTTCTATGGTTGGTATGAGAAACTTCCCAGAAAAAATTTGTTCCAATCACAATGCCTATGCTCTTAGATGATACGGAAATCTTAGCATTATGAAAAATGCAGCCTATCAAAAGCAGGTTTGTCTAAGGAGCAAAAAGTGCTGGCCTTAAAAACCAAGCCAGGGGTATACAGTGACCAGCAGGCTGTAACTGTAACCTACAAGAGGATTAGGGCACTTGTTCCAGACAAACTCATGTATCCAACCTGCCCTAAACAAAGTGAGGACCCAAGCACCCCGCGGCTGCCTCACCACGCTGGAATAAAATGGCAGGTGCAACAAGGGCGGTGACATCCACACGAGTCAAAATTCCTCTATCATGAGATTCAAAATCTTAGTATGACATATGCTGTGAACACACAGAACTGGTATGTTTGTTTTATTTAGACCTCCCTGGTTAGACAGGTGAAGAAAGAATAGAAAGTAAAAAATATGATCACTAGTGTGCAACTACCTGCATAATGATACATAGCTGTCACTTGTCTGCCTAAATTTAACAAATATAACACACAATGAAACAGTTGAGAGTTCTCTTTAATCTGTTTCTGTAAGGGTAGCACAAGCATCTGATTTATTTTGTCATTTACATTTGGTGAATTTGACAATCACACTACCCAAAGGAGAACTTTTTATAAGGTAACACTGAACCAAACTGGTATTGAACTTTATTGCAAATAGAATATAATTAAGAAATAGTACAGTCCAAATGTCTATTAAAATGCAAGTCCCAGACCAATGAAAGATACTATGTCTCCTGAGCAGTAGTTCCACCTCAAACGGCAAGTTAAATATGTTTAAATGAGGCTCTACTGGATGGACACACAGGTACTGAATACTAGTAGCCAAATAAATGAAGGAAATAGTTTATAGCAGTGGTTCTAAATCTGGCTCATCATCAAAAAATTAGATTCTCTGGCGCCAAACCTTAGACACTGTGCTTCATTAGACCCCTAGAGAGGGACCCACAGATAGATCAACAGCATCCCAACGAGAATCCCTCCTCCCATAGGAAGCACCCCCTCCCAGCAGTCCCTCCCAGCCACCAGAGACTAACCTTTCTACAGTGCACTCTACAACCTTCACATGGCTCTACAAGCTAAAGCCGTCAGTGACTCCCCGGGGCCTACCAAACAAGTCAGATATATGAAAGAAGTTCTGCAAGACCTTAAAATAATCACTTTCCAGGTCTCATCTTCCACTACTTCTTTAAGTAAATCCCATGCGCAAGTG